GCTCTACAGAAAGCACTAGAGAGAGGGCTGGGATTTATCTCAGTGGTTTAGTCGAAGCCAAAGTTCCTGAGTTTGATCCTAGGTACCAAGGGGGCCAGGGAGAAAGCACCAGAGGTGGACGCAGGGAGGAGAGATCCACTCAGGAGCAGAGGGGGAGGCTGAAGCACTGTGGGAAGCTTTGAACTGGGGCCATCTTTAAATGTGCACTTCACAGATTTCCTTGGGACTAAACTTCTACCCACAGGCGACTCCCAGTTCCAGGAGGCCTGAGAGTGGCTCCCTTCTCTGGGCCTTTTCCTCTGAGACCTCTTCCTACGTCCTGATCAGAGTCCAAGGTGTCTCCCCAAGAAACCTAGAGAGCTTTGCCGCTGTGCCCCCTGACTGCCCCTGCAGGGGACCCCCACCCAGCCCGCGCGCGAGTCTCACCCCTTGATGATCTCAAAGGGTGGCAGCTCAATGAGCTCCTTCAGCTTCTCAGGGTTTTCCAGGTCATCCAGGTCCCCCTCCCCATTCTGGGAGGCTGGCGCCGCGGGTGCTGCGGGCGCTGCGGCCGCTGCGGCCTCTTCCTTCTGGGCCATGAGGGGCTGTGGCTCAGGAGTCACCGGGAGACTGAGGAGAGGCTGTGGGTCTGGCCAGGCCCTGGCGGCAGAGTCCCAAGCAGCTGTCAGCAGCTCTGGCTGGCTGGAGATGAGAAAGAGGACCCGGCAGGCCAGGCTCCGGCTGCCCCCTGGGCCACGGCTTTATAACCAGGCCTCCTGCCCCTCCCCCCGGTCCTCTCCCTCCGGCTTCTTAAAATTGAGTGACAGCGGTGCCAGGATGGGGGAATGGAAACTCTGGCTGTGAGTAGCCCGTATTTATCAGTAGCAAAGACAGGAAGCTGGCAGGTTGGGCGGTTTGGCCTGCTTTTCCCTTTCCTCTTCTCTCCTCACAACCTGGATTCCTCCCTTTGTTTCTGGCCCTACTTCCCAGCTCCATGGGAGGGTGGTGGTGGGGGGATTGTGGCAGGGGCCAGAGGGCGGCCGTCCTGAGATTAGGGGAGAAGCACTGAGTGAGTCAGGGTCCCTGATTTCTCTGTCTGAGTCTTGGGGCGATGACAAGTTGCCCCAGAGCTCCCATGGCAACAACTGTTGAGTTCCAAGACTGAAATGGACTGGACAGAGTTTAGTTGTTTCCACTACTCTAGGAGGCTGTGTGTACCATTGCCTACGACGTATGGGAACACTGAGGCTCCAGAAGGGTTCTGTTCCTGGCCTAAGGTCATACAGCTCGTAAGTGGGGCAGGCGGGATTAGAACCCAAGCTGTGTGCTGTCCAGCGGGCACCTTTAGCCTCCATGCTGTGCTCCCTCTCAGTCGGCCCTTTACCTGTTTAACAAAGGTTTATCGAGCACCTATTTGATGCGAGGGTCTGGTTCAGGTCCCGGGACTGTGGCAAAGAAAAAAGCGAGTCCCTGCCCTGTGGAGCCGAAGGAGCTAGATGATAAATAAGAAAAGTAAAATACAGGCTCTGCTTGGCTGGTGTTGGTCAAGTAAGGGAAAAGAAAACAGAAAGTGGCAAGAGGTGAGATGACATTTTTATTATTGGGTGGTTAGGGCAGGACTTTGAAAAGGAGACAGTTGAGAAACCATCTGAAGGAGGCACGGGGGCCTGAGATGGAGGCCTCCTTGGTGTGGACACCTGTGTGGCTGCAGAGGCCCAGGGGAGGAGGCCAAAGACACAACCTGAGCTGAAGAGGCTGGGGCTCTGTGGGCTCCTCTGAGGAGCTGGCTTTTTTTCTCTGTGTGAGACGGGAAGCCATCTTCTCAGCCCAGATGAGACGCACAGTCCAACTCCTTTTTGCAGCTGAGATTGGACCAAAGATGGGAAACAGCAGAAGCAGGGGCATCGGTCAGAAGCCTCTTGAAATTAGAGGAAGCGATAACAACAGCTGGGAAGTTTTTGTAGCTCACATGACAGGTGCTTAGCAGGGGCCACAAATGTTTGTGTTTGGGCAATGCGGATGCTCTGGGATGAGCTCAGGGGAAAGGGAAGGAGGTGCCAGGGTCACCTGCAGGTCGAAAACGAGGAATCTGAGAGCACTGGGGGTGAAAACAGTCTGAAAACAGCTGCGGCCAGGGGTGGAGAAGAGGAGGCAGGGTGCCTCTGCCGTGGTCTGGCTGGAGAAGACATTTGGGGGGTTCCCTGACCCAGAGAGTTCTGAGTAACCCACAGTGCTCAGCATTTTGGTTTTCCCTATGGTCACGGTCTCTCCCAGTTGTACACGCCCGAGTATTAGACGTGTTCCTGTGAAGGCCATAAATTATACGATTGCCCTGCCTCTTAGGGTTATTTTCCCAGGAGAGGGTAGAAGTAATAGTACTACCAAAAGGCGGTAGCAGCTCATAAATGACAAGGGAGTTTATTACGACACGAACATACAGCATTCGAATGCAAAGAGATTATTTCATTCTGGTTATTTCATCAACATTTATCGAAGGTTCCCATGCAGTGAGCACCAAGAATAGAGGTGAACGAGCAGGTCTCAAAGTCTTAATAGCATTTGGGGCATTAATCAGGCAGTCAGGCATGGGGGTTATTCCATTTATTCACACAGCGTTCTCCCGCCTGTGTGAATTATTGGCCTTATTTTGCAAGTTAGGGACCAGAGTCGTCAGAAGGTAGTGATTTTGTGCCAGATCGACAGGGATTTGAGTCTAGTTCTTTTGAGCCTGAATGCAGCCTTATTTCCAAGGCTGCACCCCCAATACCTCTGATTTGATATCGCTAAAGCGCTGGAAAGGGGAGTTCCCCTCACACTCTGGCTACAGGGATGTGCTCAAATCAACTGAGAGAGAGTCGGATGTCCCCAGGCAAATGGCTGAATCTATCATTTCATTCTTCCTCGGGAGGGAAAGCTTCCTCCCTAAGGAGGAGGAGTTCTTACATTTTGTCTCTCATGTATAATCCTGGATTAGGAGGAAAGAATACTTCATGGTCCCATCTCACTGGGTTCACTGTGTGATCGGGGGCCAAATGCCAAATCACGTCACATCTCTGGGCCTCAGGCTGAGCTCGCTGCTCCAGGGTGGTTGAAAGGAAGAAGGTGAAGGAGTCAGCTGGGCAGAGGAAGACCAGAGATGGCCCAGGGCTGGTCCTCCCCAAAGCCGAGACCCCTGGCTCCTACACACTTTGACCTTTGGGAGAGTGCCCTGGGCCCACTCCCAGGCCCCATGCAGCCGCCTCCCCCTTTCCAGGCCTCCTTTCCAGCCCCCACCCCCCTGCTATGCCTGGAGGCCTCAAAGCCCTGGCTCTGGCTATCTGGCTATTTATGGCGCCTCCTGGGGACCTGCATTCCTGGCTGGTCTCCGGCTCTCCTTTCTGAGTCAGACCAGTTTCTCCCACAGGCCCCACAGTGTAGCAGCTAATCTGGGGGACTCACATGCCAGGGCCTGGCTCCTCCCTGTGCAGCTGCCACCTTACTCTTTTTAGGACTGGCGTCCCCTGCCCCTCAGCCCACATTAACCCTATTGGGGAAAGTTCTTTCAATCCCCCTCCTGCACAGGAGGAAGTGGGCAGTGAGGTATTTCATTCAAGGCTTCTTGGAGTTAGCAGGGCACTGAGATTTGAACCAAGCCGCTCAGCCTCCAAGTGCCAGGCTTTTGCTGCTGTCTTATGCTGCCCAGAATTCAGTAATGAGCAGGGCTGGCATCAGCACAGCCCTGGCTGTCAGCGTTCTGTTACCCTAAGCACTTGCAGAAGAATTCCTTTACTCCTCACCAGGGTGTTTGGGGGAGGTACTTCGTACTACGATGCCTGTGTGCCTGGTGGGGAAACCGAGGCCTGGAGGGGAAGTGGCTACTGAGGCAGTGCTCTTTGTTTTCAATTTCACCCTCTTCACCCTTCACCGCTCTGTCCCTCCTGCCTCAGGAGCCTAGAGACCAGCGGAGGAAGGCAGGGGATGGTGTGGGAAGCTGGGGGGCTTGGAAGGAGTTCTTGCAGGCAGAGCAGGCTCAGAAGTATTTGATACTGAGGTAGGGTTTGTGTGTGTGTGTGTGTGTGTGTGTGTGTGTGTGTGTGTGTATCTGAGGGCTAGAGACAGAGAGCCCATTGGTCTCTC